CTTAATCAATGATTCATAACTTATAAAAGCAAAGATACAAGACCTGAGCAGATTATGATCATTCACAGCACTATTATCAGTGTTAAAAAAGAAGAGACTTATAATTGAAAAGTCTCATGAAGTAAGAGAAATCATAGACACTTACAAATCAGATGATCTCACTTATTTCAATCTTTTCACAATTATAAGAAAAGAATGAGAAGAAATGAAGAAATCAGATAAATACCACACTCTGATAAGTGATGAGACTGTAGCTGATTATATGATAACACATCACAGACAGTGAATGCAACATGGCAAAGAGCAGTCTCAAAGCAGCAGACTTGCATGTGAGTCAGATCATAGAAGAAAAAGAAATTCAGAGTTGAATTCAACTGTTTATACCAGTTCAATTGCAGAGATCACAGAGAATGAACTATCTGAAACATCTGCAAACACATGAGATTAAGCCATCTCAATCCCTGAGAACACTCAGAGATCAGATGAGATTAGTTTCAATAAGCTGTTCACTGTAGTGATCTGAGTGAGTGAAGAGAGACAGTATAATACATGAGACAGAATCATAAAAGATAAAAGCTGCTGAATCTAGTCACTGAACACTGTATCATATAGAGGTTGTGTAAGAGTAGTGACTAGCAGATAAAGAAAAAGTGTAAGAAAAGAGATAATGAATTGATCATCAATCATAAGAGTCAGCTGCAAAAGACAAATATTATCATACACATTTCATTCATTTTCATACATCACATGTTAATCTATTTTCAACATCACATCATCTGAAAAACACTAAAAACAAAGGAAATCTCAAAACTTGAGATCTGCAAGGAATTTGAGAGCTGCAAGTCACTCTCATAACAACACTGTGTATGTCTTTAATTCCTCTACTGCTCTGCATACAATATTAATGTCATTTATCACAAGATTGACTGGAATGTCAATATAGAAATGTGTATGCATATATGTAGAGAAATTGAAGAAGAGCACAGAACCTGCAGGACCAGAAGTCAGAGCAGAGAGAGTGAAGACAGAAGAAATGAAAGAGAGAGGTATAGAACTGAACAAACAACAGAAGTCACTCGGGGCTGAACACTTATAATCTGATGTGCACACAACCTTCCCCGCAGGAGAGAGAGAGAGAGAGAAAGCAACAAGAGAAGCTTGAGAGCAGAAGAAAGTAGTCTTGATAATGTTATCATCTTTGATCAGAATGGTCTCTGATACTGAAGTAACTAAGAATCATTGTTAGTATATGAAAATTGTAAAAGCAGAGATAACAATTACTGAATAAACACTCACTGGCCTTAGAATTGTACACATAATTACAACACACATGAGGCTTCTCAGAAAGAGAGAGAGAGACATAGAGAAATACAGAAAGTAGAACACAGCATGCAAACAGCTCATTCTCACAATAATATCTCAGACAAGGTATACAAGTCTCACATCTGCAGATGTAAAAGAGTATGACATCTGTGTTTTCATTTCTGAAAACATGAATATTCTTCACCTGTATTATGAAGTTGAATGACAAATATCAGAGAATAGACTGATACAGGTCAATCATTCTGAAGATATTCATCAGAGCAGATATATCTGCAATATTAAATTTAACAGTCATGAAAAGTTTCTTGATATCTGTGAATATTATAACTTCATGCACAGTAAAACTCATCACAATTTTCTCTAAGAACAGAAAAATCAGCATCAGAAAGAAAAGATGAAAAGAAAAAGACTTACAATCTTAACACTGTTGAGAAGAGAGATGATTCTCTGATATAAATGAACAATTCTCTCATTATAAATATTTAAAATAAACATAATAATTAGCATCTGTGACTGAGCTTCAGATAGTCATGTTATACATCATCTTTATACAATAAATTATTCTGAGAGTCAGTAAGAAGAGTGAAAGTGTACACACTGAAAGAGATAGTTCATTAAGTCTATACAACATCTTCTTGAAACAGGAAGAGCTGGTAATGAAAGCAGAGATGATAAAATCAGAAGTAGCAGAAGTGAGAGTTGCAGAAACAGAGGTAGTGAGAGAGAAATCAGACACAGAAGCAGATGTAGAAGATTAAGAGAGAGCAGTAGAGAAAGAAACAGAGAGAGCAGAGAGAAATGTAAGAGACTCAGTCACACATGACACAGACAATTTCTTCATTATCATGTTCTTCAAGTTCTCAATCAATGATTTAACACTGAGTTCACTATTATAGACAGATGTGAATCTGTCAACATGTGAAGATTCTATACAAATAAAAACAAACATATCAGTATCTGCATTCATGCAAAATCATGTCAGAAAACATGATCAGAAACTCACTGAGAAGGAAATAATTAAGAGTATATGAGAAGATGAAGAAGATGTGTCATCATTCATGATAATACATTGTTCTGACAATTGTTAGAAGATAAACAAGTTCTGATCATGTTTCATAACATATTACACTTACTGCTAATGAACTGCTCAGTATGAGTACTATGATAATACTTGTTATGAGAACAGAGAGTCATTGCCAGAAACATGTATAATGTGATAGATGAACAGATAGAAAGAGTTGAACAGAAGAAGAAGTAAGAATCTTGAATGAGATGATGATGTTCAATGATGATGAAATGAAGAAGATGATTGAAGAATGAGAAAAGTTAGTGAATGAGTAATGTAATATAGTGAAAGCTTCTTTGTAAGAGTGTACACAGGACACTAGCTGAATCAGGAATAGGCCACATGATCATGAAACACTAGTGGCGAGCTAATCCGCATGAAGCTAGGGCGTGCGACATGGTCATGTGGGCGTGACCGAATCTGGTGGGGGAGAATGTGGTTCAGAAGAATGTATGACTGTCAGATAATAACGCGGCCGCTTCCGAACTACTAGCATACGCGTATGAGTGTAAAGGGGCCATAGCGGCTGCTAATCATAATTAGCATACGATATTACAATATATAAGAAGCCGGCGTACGCCTGTAATCGTACGCTGGCTTAAGCAACCTTTGAATCACATATCTTATATTATTCAGTGAGATCTCAGTGAATATTGATTTGATTCTCTTAATCTTGTTTTACAGTTATTATAAAGACTTCTGCTCAGTTATAAGTATCTCAGAGCTTTATTACTATATTATCAGTGATCTGAATTGAACTGCAGAGATTCAGTGTGAACTGTGTAATCTTCAGAAGATTCAACATCTTCATGTAGTAACTATGTATGAGAAAGAACAGACTTATATCTATTGAAATAATATCTCAATCATTGATAGTGATCTCTGTATATAGAAGAAGATTATATTAATCATCTTATAAGTAATTACAGAACTTATGAAGATAATTTTTCATAGTCTGAATTATTTATTCTGATATATTATCAGTCTTAAAGTGATAGACAGTTGATAGATAGTATATAATCTTAAAAACTTAACAGATTCTTGTTCAGAGAGTGCTTATGAATTAACAGCTCTGATCTAATACTATAGATCTCAGTAATTTATATATTCAATAAACAGACTCTGTAAAAAAGCTTTAATAACTTATTCAGTATTTATTTTATTACAAGATTTCAATATTATATCTTTACTTAATTAATTCATAATAATCAGAATATTGCTACAATTCTTGCTCTTAAATAGATTAACAGTGAAATTAATTACTACATCTTATCAGATTCTATCAGAAATATTAAGTGATTTCAGTAAATCTTTTCTACAGTTCTTTTATAAGATAATGAAAGAACAGTAATTACAGTTTCAGACAAAGTATCTAATACTGCTTAATATCTCAGATCAGTAGAACTCTTGAGAGATCATTCTATACAGTTGTTTATAGTCTGAATAATCAGTTATATGTGAATTATGTATCTCTGACATTATTCAGATATGTAAAAGTTTGAAGTAAGAGATTCAGTGTTGTTTGCAGAATTATAGAGTGTTATTATCATTGATTGAACATTCTGAGATATCAATTCTTATATATAGTTCTGTAACGTGGCGGAACCGAAGTGATGACTAGTCAGCAGTGACATGTAGAGATAGTTGTTTGAGAAGCTGTATAAGTGAGCTTGACTATCTTGCTTGAATAGTGAGCTTGTAGGCTACAGAGTTATTACAAGAATATCACAGATATGATACTTAGTATACTAAGAAGATTGTATGAGGCATGCAGTAACTCTTGTATATATTTCAGTAGAAGAAAAATAAATTGCTGACTTCTTTTATAAGGAGTCAGTATCTAGTTATTCTATATAGACAATGAGTGAATACCTTCTCTCATTTCATGAGTAAGACTAGCTGAAGTGATACCTCAGCAGTGTCTCACTGCTAAGGAAAAGTAATCTGCTGATCTCATATAGAAGTGAGATTCTCATATTTATCAATCAGATCTTTCTATGATATATCTGAATGATGTTATAGAGTGATTGAAAACTGGTTTGAATAGCCTGCAGAATGAATGAAATCATTCACATGAAAGTAATGAGTCATGTGAAACTGCAACAGGGCCTTGACACAGTCAGAAGTGTGACAATACCCTCTTCTTTAAGAATATAGTCTCTATGCTCTCAAGATTACTGAATTAGAAATTATCTTTGTTATATAGCAACAGTTGTCAACTGATTGACAGTGTATATACTGTGTATAATACAAAGAAATAGATGAGTTTTTCTGCTGACTGTGTAGATCTTTCTTTTCTCATCTTCATTCAAACTAAACATGTGATAAGTGAGTTCCTTATATATTGATTTGAAATATGGAAAAATGTAGTTAATAAGTGACTTGCAGATCTCTCATCATATTTCATTCTATATATAAAATTCCCTGCAAAAGTGGTGTGTTTTAGAGACAAAGCTAACAGTAGTGATAGGATTTTTTAAAAAGATTCTCTCTCTCTGTGACACATTTTTCTTCCCCTCCTCTCATCTGCAATAGTGAGTGTATGAGAGCATCATTCTTGAGAGACAATAAGAGGCTTATTCTGACATTTTCTAGTGAATAACAAATGTCTTCATGATGCAGCGATGGTCTCCATGACTGTCAAGAAAGCCAGGTTGAAGGCAGAGATGATGGTGTCAATGAGCCGCGGGAGCACTGCTCTCATTATTACACCTTCTTCTTCTCCTTCTTCTGCTTCTTTTACAGCTGCAGTGATAGTTGCTGTGCCTTGCAGTGAGGTGTCAATTCTTCTGCTGATTGATTCATCTATGTCTGATCTGTCTTCTGCCTCTCTCATTGCTGTTGCAACACCGCCCCCTCTGTTCACTAATACAGTGATGTATGACCCTGTGTGATCATTTGAAGAGGAACTCAGAAAGAGCTTGATTTCAGAGACAGTGACTCTGAGAAGCTCAATCTGTAGTTCCTCTTCTGCACACTCAAGCCCTGCTTAGAATGCTGCTGAGTTAGGTTCACAGAGTCTTACAGTTTCTTTATCTTCTCTCTGTGAGAAGGCTTCAGTGCAGTCTCTGACCAGTATTACTACTTATCTACACTGTGCTAAGCAGCTGAAGAAGAGAGAGATCTTATACATCTGCTTCTTCTTTCACTCTCATTATTTTCATTGTATTCACAACAATGACTTCTATCTCTCTGTAAGTATTCTCTCACAGGAAGATGTTGTATCAGCTCTGATAAGAAGTCTAGATACTTAAGCAGTACAGAGTAAGAGTCTCAGAACTTCAAGTATTGATAAATTTTATCAAGACTGAGAAGATCTCTCTTGCTTATCTGTAAAAGAAGACAAAAAGTGTGAATCTCTGAGATGAAAAAACACCTCAGAATGACTGACTTTAAGAAGAAGTCAGCTGATATCATCATTGAAAGTACTGCAGAGATTAATCACTGATTAAAGAGAATCTCACTTCAATTGAAGTAGATGACTGAGATGTTTTATAAGTTAATAAGTTATCATTTCATACATTTCTTCTGCTCTTCTGTGATACTGCAGTACTAACTTCTCATCAGACAAAGATACTGATATCAGAGACTTCAATAATGAAGAATAAGTTTGATAAGAGTGTGATTATTAATGAGTAGACTCTGAGATTCTCTCTTTTTACTTTTTCAGTAGGCTGCAGCCTCATTAAATTAGCAGCAGTCTGTGAGTTAATTAATATTAATCTTTTTATTGATTTTAAATATTTCTTTCTTTTTCTTATTAACTGCTTCAGGAATTTTACACTTGTATAGTCTCATTAAACTTCTAAAAAATCCTTTGAGAGAAAATAGAAGAAGAGTGCTACAGAGTCTACAAGATACTGACTTATCATCACAAGATTATCTCTAAAAAATCCTTTAAGAAAAATAAGAAGTCTTTAAGCAGTATTTCTTACTCAATGTCTCTGATGTATAATAGAGCAGTCTTTACTAGCTGTCTCATAGCTTACAATCTCTTTCTCAGTATTTTTCAAATACTCAAGCAGTTTTCATAAATTCTCTAATAATGAATAATCTTCTCATTTAACAAGATATTGAAGCTTGCTGTAATATATTCACTTATTCAATATTTTCTTCATAAGATATTCAGTATCACTCTTAATCTCAATATCATTCAGTCAAGATGACTCTGTCTCAGAACATTGCTTATAGAGCTTTAAATAAAAAATGTGAAAAATAGAATGAATTGATTTCAATTCTGTAAGTAATTTTAACTCATATGTCTGCTTACTCATCACTCTTATTATCAGAAAAGATTCTAGTCATCACTCACTGAGCTTCTTATACAGTCTCATTGTCTTGATATTCTTTGCTGAAAGTAGTACTTAATTCTCTATCAAGAACTTCATTAAAAGATGTTTTTAATTATAGTATTTCATCTATTACTTCTGAGTATAATAGATGCTTTTCATCATCTTCTTATAAACTTTGTTTAAAAGTTTCAATCTCACTTTTACTTCTGATACTGAGAGATACTTCATTCTCTATATCTGTCTAATATTCTGACTGTCTATCTCTCTCTTTGAAATGTTGTCTGTGATATCACTGAGTAACAAAGAATTATATTCATAATAAGTATAGAAAGAAAATATCTTTAAGATTACATTCTTTACATTGTTATATATGAATTCAGTAGTCAGAAGATGTTTGAGTTAATCATTCTGATAATATGAATAGAACACTTGAAGATACTGTTCTAGTGTCTGATTCTAATATTCAGTCTGTTCATCAGTCTGCAGATGAAATGCAGTACTGAGAAGACATCTTATTATAAGATAATAGCAAAAAGCTGATTAGTATTTACTGATGAAGAGGAATTCTTGATCTATTATCAATAATTTCAGAGCATCATGATCATGAATAATGATATCTAAAAATAGATCAGTCAATTCAGAGACTTTAATCTTTTTATAAGTAGAGATATATCTGATTATCTTTATAAAGTGATCAACAATAATCAAAATCAAGTTATATTCTTTAACTCTTGTCAACTTCAGCAGATCAACTATGAAATTCATTGATAGATTCTGTTATAAGCTCTTTAAAACAGGCAGTGATATCAACTCACTGTATTACTTATACTACAGAATCTTTATTCTTTAACAGATATTATAAGTTTCAATATACTCTTTAACATCTGCTCAGAGCTTGTCTTAAATGTATTTATATTTTAAAAGCTTCTCAGTCTTCTCTAATTCAAAGTACTCTGTATAAGAATTATTATAATGAATTCTTAATAACTTCTGATGCACCGCTCTGCTACAAGAAACAAAAACTGAATTATTCAGCAGTAAAAGTTCACATTCTTCTAGTTATCAGCAACTTGATTTCTTAGCAGCATCATCTCACTCAGAGTCTGTCTCTTTCAAGTTCAAATCAGATTCTTTCTTCTTCAACTTCTGAATTCAAGCTGCAGTAGAGATATTTCTCTTCTATAACTTATCAATGAATTTCAAAAGTAGTCAGATTGAAAGATTGTAGACTGTTTCATTCTTTATCAATTCAATAATTGTAAGATATGATACAAGAAGCTCATAATCTTCAGTATCAGTCTCTTACAGAGATCTGAGTTCTCTTTCACCTTCTATACTGAGTTATACAGCTGTCTCTTCAGTGCTGTTTCTGAGTTTTAGAGAATCTCAATCCTCTGCAGTCAGCTTCTTCTGCAGTGATAGCAGAGATTCTTTTATAGAATTCTTCTTCATATTAACAATATTATAATCAGACTATCTAGACAGTGTGTCAGCGGGGTTAAGCTAATCTGAATGATATTAAATATAGAAATCATACTCTGAAAGCAGCTTCACTCATCTGACTTGATATTCTGTCAAGCTCTTTATTGTCAAGAAGTAACATAGATTTATATAATCAGTGAGAACTTACACTGAGTACTTACTACTCTGAAGATAATGTTACTAGATCTTAAAGAATTTGACAATTGCTAACATCTTCTGATTATGAGTATCATATCTTCTCTATATAAGTAATAACTTCTTGAAGAAGAAGATCACTGATCTTCATTCACAGTATCTTATAGACTCTGTGAAAAAGTCTTCTTTCATAGACAATTCATTATCTATTTTTTCAGAAGTAATTATTCTCTGATTCTTTCAATATTGAAAGATTTCTGATATCAACTGTGAAAAGATTTCACAGATCTCATTCTCAGATACATCAGTCTTACACTGACTGAATAAGTCAGAGTTAAAATGATTCAACATTATAACATCTATAAAAGCTTGTTTTAATTTCACAAACACCTGCACAGTATCTTGAGTGAGGATAAACAGTCTCATTTTTCTGTCTTTCACACTTTTCTTCAACAGATCTGTAAGAGAGACAGTAATCTGTGAATATGCATAGATGAATCATCTGTAGAAATTCACAAATTCTAGAAACATCTGCATCTTGCAGTATGTTCACAGCGCTGATCAGTTCTCAATGATGAAGACTCAGCTTCTGTTCATTAAAATGTCATTCATCTTAATAATATAATCTAAGAAATCAATCTTCTGCATGTAGAATGAGCATTTTTCAGTATTTATATAGAGTTAATGCTGTCTCAAGTGACTCAACACTTCTCAAACATGAATATTATGTTCTTTCTCTGATTTCAAGAAGATTAAAATGTTGTTCAGATATACTATGCAGAAGACATTGACAAGGCTCTGCAGTGCCTTATTTATATAGATCTGAAAGATGGCTGAAGCATTATAAAGATCAAAAAGTAAAACAAGATATTCAAAATTGCTGTACTTGATATGAAAAGTCATTTTTCAAATGTCATCTTCATTAACCCTGATTCTATGATAGACATTCTGTATATCAATCTTTGAGAACATCTTCACTTCAGATAATTGATTGATTATCTCATCAATTAACAGTAATGAATAGCAATTCTTAACTGTCATCTTATTAAGGCCTCTGTAGTCTATACATAGACATAGTCTATTATTCTTCTTAGATATAAAGAGTATAGACATCTCTGCTGAACTCTTTAATGAATATATTCAGTTCTTTGATTGCACTTCTTCAAGATATTTGCACAGAATATTCAATTTCTTTACAGACAAGTTATAAAGAGGCCTGTATAACACTGTTACACTGTCTTCAAGACAAATCTTATATTATATCTTAGTGTCAGGAAACTTTGCTGCTTTCCTTTCTAAAAAGACATTTTTAAAATCTGTAAAGAGACATCATGTATGTCTGTCTTCAATAATGAATACTACTACTAATCTTGTAGTGAGAGTGATGACTTCTTCATCTATTCTCAAGTCTCAATCATCTAACATATAGTATATCAACTCAATCTTTTTCTCAAAATTCTTTTAATAAAACTCTTCAGATTTCTCTATCACTGTCTCTTCATCAGTAAAGTAATACTGTCACATCTGAGTGACTCAGTCAATAAGAGAATTGTTTTCTCTAAATTATGAGAGATCTAGAATGACATTCTCATCTATAATATTGACTGTGTGAAGAAGTAAACTATTCTTTTTAAAGATTTCTTCTGAGTCTGTGATTACACACTTTGCTTAAATTATGTCAAAATGATGATATTTTATTTCATTAGTAAATTTCACATGATCTGATAGATCTATCTTCTTTCAATTCTTCATCAAAGAAAAGAAATAGAATATGAAGTTAATATTTATCTCAGAGTCAAGTAGATATCTCACTGATATCTCCTCATTCAGAGTATACATTGTGATCATAACATGAACTCAGAGATGTGAGAATTGTCAATTCTTCATTTCTTTCTCTTCATTATCTTTCACAGATATGTTTGTCAGA